CTTCAAGTGGGCTGACCGCGCTCCTCGGCGATGCTGACACTCCCCCCACCCAACCAAGCCTTCCCCGCGCACGCCTGCTCCCCTGGGCTTGGGTCTGGGGCCAGCACTGCCCACCCCAGGCCACACGCCCGAGAACTGACCCAACACCCTGCGCGCTTACGTGACAGCAGACGGGCCTGTAACCTGCCACCTGGCAGCGCGGAGGACGACACGGGACAGAACCGGCAGAGCAGTGTCCTGGGCGGGGCAGGGACGCAGGAGCCAGACGCCCCGTCCCCCCGACCGGCCGCGGGCCCTCACAGACAGACATGGAGGAGCCTCGAAGCCACATCACACACAGGTCCAGGAGCCCACAGACCTGGACCCCCGGGCAACGCCGAGTTCCGCTACTGGCGGGGACGGGGTGCCATCTGCAGCAGGAACTGGGGTGTCCTGTGGCTCTGCAGCATAGCCTCCTGCCCCTGGGGATGGGAGACGAAGCCACAGCAGCACAGGAACCCCAGAGCCCACAGCACAGAGTCCGGCCGGGGCCCTCCGGGGGGAGCTCAGCATCCCTGCTGGGAATCACAAGGCGGCCCATGGAGGCAGGACGCGGCTCGCAGGCCAGCAGGGATGGCAACGACGCTAGTACAGGCTCAGGGGAGACGCCAGCAGCAGCTCCCACACGGGCAGAGGCCACTGGGGTGTGAGCACAAGTCCACACCAGGGCAGGGAGCTGCCCGCGTGCACGCGGCGGGGACGAACGCGGGGACACACGGTGGGCCAGCCCCCCAGCGCCCCCCGCACGGGGACCACACCCGCCGCATGGCTCCCACAGGCAGACAGGCAGCACTTCCGCTACTGACTCAGCCCAGGGCAAGGACTCTGGAAGGACCATGTCTGCGCTGACCCGGGCCGGCAGGCACCCGCGCCCTCGCGGCCCAGCACGTGACTGAGCAGCAGCCGAGTCCTCGGACGCCACCTTCCACAGAACCCGCGCCTGCCTCAGGCCACCAGCCCCCGGGCAAACCCGGCGAGCCACAAAGCGCGCCAGGACCCAGGGCGCCGGTCAGTCGGGAGACAAGGGGATGCAGGCCAAGGCGGAAGAGCCGCTGGCAGGGAGGGCGGCCCGGCGTCGGGGGGAGGCCGAAAGCCGCCATCTGAGCCGTCAGGACGCGTCAGGCCGGCAGGCAAGGGGCCACAGCTTCGGCAGCCCCAGGCGGGCGGCGACAGGAATCAAGCGCCCTGTCCAGCACTTCCCACCCGGCCCACCCGCACCGAACCGGGCAGGACTCGGAAGGCAGACACCACGGCCGCCTCCGGCCTACAGACCTGCAGACCCGGCGCCCTGCTGGAGGCCACCGGCTCGTGAGGCTCCTGAACACACGTCCCTGACCAGCAGCAGCTCGGCCCCAGGCGACCTGCCCACTTCAGGGTCCCCAGGACCCGGGCTCTACCTGAGGCCCTCCTGGCTCCGCCGACTGCAAAGACCGCAGAGCTCCCGACACAGCCCGAGCGCTGAGCTCCATACCCCGAAGCCCGGGCCCTCTCATTCTGCTCGCGTTGCTTAGTTTTCTGTGTGTGATGACGTGTGACATCCTAAAATCACACTCTCCTGGCTGGGGAGAGGCCACGGACTAGCCAATGCCCGTCTTCCGTCTCCTAACCACCCCCCTCCCCGGCACTTCCGCCCGCGAGGCCCACTGTGCCGTGCCCCCGGCTCAAGGACCCGAGAGCAGAGCACACGTTTCTCCCGAGCTCCTCCTGCCTCTTCCTGGGACCCCATCTGACTGCCCGCCCCATAAAGACACCCAAGCGCCTTCCCCGTGGTGTTCCGGCTCACGCCACCCGGACGTGCACTGCTCTCTTTGCTGGGAAGAACGTGGTGCCCTTTCTGGGCGGCCACGCTTTCCGTGTGGTCCGGCATTTTCTACAGAGCCCTCGGACTCAGTGCGAAGCCAAGAGGTAACGGAGTTCCTTCCCCGTGAGCACAGACACGAGCCAAGGCCCCAGCTCTGCGGGTGGACCCGCTGACGTGCTAAGGGGCCGCCACTCCGGGGGCTCCCGCGGGACCACAGCGGCTGCTAGGACCCCGTCAGGTCAGGAAGGACGTGCTCATGCAGAGCGAAGAACCGAGAGGACTGGGCTGGGGTCTACAGTCTTCAAGAGGGTCCAGGAGAAGACGGGAGGGGCCCCTGGGCCCCTACAGCTGCCAAACAGGACCCACCGGCTCCTGGCCGATTCCCTGACGTGGAGACCACTAGAGGGCGGCGGCGGCAAGGTCCGGCAGGTCCAGCTGGGGTCCCCGTGATGCTGGTGGGCACGCAGCCTCAGCGGCTCTCGCTGCTCAGGGGAGGAGAGGCATGGAGGGAGAGGCCACCGTGCCCTGCGGGGAACCCGAGGGAGGCGCTGCTGTCACTCTCACTCCCGGATGGGGCCTCATCCCTCTGAGCTCCGCAGAGGGTCCGGCGCCCAGACCAGCTCCTCCCGTATCATCCACGAGGGGGACACAGTACGCCGGCCCCTCGCAGGCAGGGCAGCGCTGCCTGGCCAGCACGGTGAGAGGCGCACCGGACCCTCCCAGGCAGGCCACGCAGCGCGCCTGCCCGGCAGATGCCATGCTCAGCTGACCCCTAAGTGCAACGGGAGCCCCAATCGCCAGCAGCCGCCACCATGGACTGGCAGCGGCCGAGGCAGGACCAGGCTCTGTCCCACGGCTCCCGCCACTGCTCAGGGACTCCGCAGCACGGACGCCTCCTCCCGCGCTTTGCCCCTAAAGCCAGCCCCTCACAGAGCCCCCACTACAGGCAGGCCGGAGGCGGGTGCAGGACTGAGGGCCCCAGAGCACCCCGCCGACCCCACCACCTCGGGTCAGGGGGAGCCCAGGTGCGCACCCGTGGACGCGGCTGCTGCTGCTGACGGTGGTGCGTCAGCGGCCACGGGAACAAGAGCCACACACAAGCTGCCTCCACCGTACGCCGGGACGGAGCGGACAGGTGCCCAGGGCGCATCGCCGCGGCAACGGGTCTGGCTGGGCTCAGCCGCTCCGCTCCAGCTGTCAGCCACAGACGGGACCGTGAGGAGCACACGAGGAGGAGACCGCGTGCGCCAAGTGGTGCCCATCTCCTGCCCGCTGCCCACCCACCCCACGGAGGGCTCAGCCTGTGCGGCCCGGACTGGGGCCGGACCAGTACGCCTGAGCCCACCCCACGGGCAGGAGGCGAACAGCCGCACAGCCACCACAGAGGCAGGCAGAGCAGGGGAGAGGCCACATGGTGGCACGGCGTGGGGGTGGGGGGACGTGGGAAGACCGCGTCTGTCCGCTCTCTGAAGGCACAGTCCACACGGTGACTCAGAAACCCCGAAGAGCGACCCTGAACACAGAGCTCTCACCCGAGGCCGAGCGAGGGGGGAGAAGCCGTCCACGCGGACAGACGAGAACAGAACAGCGAGCGCGCTGGTCGATGAAGAGGCCTGAGTGCCCGCGGCCCCCGCGGCCCTGCGGAAGCACAGAGGCTCACACCGGCAGGACACAGCCCGAGCTGCAACCCGCTGTGTGGCGGGCGTCCTCCAAGAGAGCTGGGGGCCCGTGAGGGACGAGCCTGCCCTTGGGCCACCATAAGGCGTCCCACAGCTACAGGCAGACGCGGGAGGGGGCCCTCCCAGAGCTCCCCTTCCTGACTCAAAGCAGAAAATCCTGAAAACGACTGCAGGGGTCCCTGTCCTGCGATGTCCTCTGCCTGCACCTGCACCGATGCCCCTTCCTCCGCTAAGTCCTCCTGGATTTACCCTCTCGTCTGTGCCCTCGGAAGCCTACAGGATCAGCCTCCACGCTAAGATGCCAGAGAAGCCGCAGTTCCGACGGCCCCGTGGAGTTTCCTCTCACAGAGGCTCCCCCCGGGCGATACCCTCTTCCTCTCGTCTGTCTTCTGTTGGTTCACTCAGCTCCTGGCCGAGAACGCAGGGCCGGTTCCCCTACAGGCTTCAACGTACCGAGAAGCCGAGGAGATCAGGACGGCCCATCTCCTGTCAAACAGTAGCCACCGCACGGCCCGGCGTGCGTAACCCCAGGCTAAGGGCTTGACACAAGCCCAGCTGCGAAACTACAGCTCACGAGCCCTGAGAAAGGCGACAAGCAGGAGACGGAACCCGAACGCTATGAAGACCTGGAAGCCACGCCATTACCCGACACGGGGAGAGTTCAGAAACGCGCACGTGGAACGGACCGAGGACCGCGGGGCCGCAGAGACCAGCGCGGGCCGCGGCACGACACAGCCTTGCAACTCTCAGGACCGAAAGGCAGAGCAGGGCTCCCTCCGGCAAGGTGAAAAGACGGGCGGATCCCAGCAGAGCAGGATCCCGGGTCTGCGCAGACAGCCCTGCCCTGCCCGGGTTCACACGCCGCCATCGCCCAACCGCCCCACCGTGCGTGTGCCGCCCCCGGGGCAGCGGGGAGGCCTCCCTCCAGGTGGCGGCGGTGGCAGCGTGCCCTGTCCAGGCCAGAGCCCACCGCGCCCAAGGGCTGCGACCAGCAGCAGCCCGTCAGAAAAGCACCCCGCGAAGTCCCGCATGGGGAAGCACGCTGGGGAAAATGACCTGCCCCACACCGGAAGGCACAAAACGATACAGTCGGGCAGCAGCGGGGACGGGACGGGTGCCCCCGCGCGCAGCGATGTCTACGAAGACATTCTCAGGACATCACGATGACGGGAGCACCGTGTGCTTACCTGACGATAAAGAACAAGTGCCCGCGGATTCACGCACTAGATGCGTGTTTCCACAGCCCTGCAAACACGCGCTGAAAGAACCTGGGAGTGAGACGGTGCGCTTCGGCGTGTGGCGGAAGAGAGATGCGTACACGGGTATCTTTACGCCGCTCTTTCTACTTTAGTTCAGCTTAAGACGCTGCCGTTCTGAAAACACGCACAGGTTAGCGGCCTTACCCTGGCCCACACGTGAGTGTCTCAGACGTGGCCTGGGACCAGGCTCTGAACGCCCAGGCCTCAGCCCCGCGTGCTCACCTCTCCTGATGGAAGCAACACTCCTCGCGTCCGGGTCCAGCTTCTGCACCAAGGCGCTGGGGTCTATCTTCGTCCCGGCGAAAATATCGGTGCTTGTGAAAGCCCATTCCTAAGAAGGAAAGAAACCCTAAGATTTCTCCACGGCTCCAGAGTACACACGAGGCTGGTCACGCCGCAGGGAGAGCCCCCAGTGGGGTCTCCCAATGGGCCGGGCCAGGCCAGCTCCTCCACGGAGAGCCTAGGGGAGGGAACCCTCGCCCCCCAGAGCTGAGCCCTGGGCCCCGGGCCTCTAAGGCAGCACTCCCTCCCACCAGCCTCAAACGGGCTTTGCTCCTCCTGCTGTGGGGACCCTCCTAGCCCGGGCTCTGGATGGGTACGGACTGTGAACGGAAGGTCAACATTCAGAAGCACCGTGACAGGAGCCAGCTTTCCTCTGGAACCCGCACCACCTTCTCCCCACGGCACTCTCCCGTTTGGTGACCACCGTCCCGCCTCGGCCGTCTCTGCCCAGGCCTGCTTCCCACCACGGTCAGCCCACAGGGAGACTCCAAAACCCTCCCAGTCCCTCCACACACACGGTGCTGAGCCAGAGCCCTCCTCCCAGGCTCCCCCTCCCCCGGGTCATTCCAGGACAGGCATGGGGGGTGGGGGGGGCAGCGTCGACCCCCAGGGGAGTCACAAACCAAGACAGGCCTGTGGTGAGCACAAACCAGCCTGAGCGCCAAGGTGCAGGGCTGGCCTGCGGCCCAGAGCTGGCGCCTCAGGAGCTCCGGGCGGGAGGGGAGGTCAGTGCACAGGAGACGTCGGAAAACTCACAGGGACAGAGCTGGGCCTGGGAGGCAGCTGGGAGGACGGCGCGGGGAAGGCCGCGCAGCAGGTGAGGGCCAGCCTGCTGACCCTGCTGACCCGGGGGCCGTGGTGGCGCACAGCCAAGACTCCCTTTTTCCCCACGCGGCCATCCGGACACCGTCACAGGGGAGCTCCGCGCTCACGGCCTCAGAGGTCCGGAACTTCCCGTAGCAGGCGCGGGCTACACTGCTGGTGTCCTGCGGGGCCTGCGGTGCCGCCCAGTGACTGGAGACCGCGTGCTCCCCGCCGGAGCAGCCCCTGTAGCTGCGTCTCCACAGGCCCAGCGCCGCCCTCCTCTCGGCCCCTCCTCTTGCACACTCCAGAGCTCGCACCCACAGTCTCCACGTGACAACTCAACGCTCTGCCGTCGCGGTCCGGCTGGAGCGGACAGCGGCTCCGTGGGCGGCTCCTTCCCAGCTGGCTGCGGTCGGGATCAGCAGGACTCTGCCCGCGCGGGGCCCCTCCGGGCCTGGCCAGCACGGGACGGGGATGGGGATGGAGCCGCGGCTGCAGGGGCGCCACCTCCGGCTCAGGTCACGGGCTCCCTGCTCGGCGGGGAGCCTGCTTGTCCCCCTCCCGCCGTGTCTCCGTCAGGCACGTAAGCAAGACGGGGGCAGAGAGCGCGACCACCGCCTCCCGCCAACCATCCGCCCGGGGCGCTCACCGACGCGTCAGAGCCCCGGACCCGCGGCTTGGGCCAGACCGCGCTGGACCCCGCCCCTCACAGAACCCCCTCGGGAAGGGCCGCGGCGGCCAACGACCCCCCCCCCCACGAGCGCCGGCTCCAGTCCGAGGCGAGCCAGAGGCCGGGACCCCGCCCGCCCCCACCTGCTGCAGGGGACGCTGAGAGCCGCCCCCTCCCCGTCATCGCGGCTCCGACCGGCGGGCGAGCGGGGGAGAGCAGGGGCCGCCCCGCGGGCTTCTGTCGCGGTGACGGACCGTCCTGCCGGCCCCGCGCGCTGACCCCGACGCCCCGGCGCGCGACCTCGGCCCGTACCGCGAGCGCCCCGAGGGCTCGGCCGTGGGCAGGACCCCGCTGGCCGGACGCTGCCGCGTGGGGCGGGGCTGGGGCGCGGGCGGCCGGGTCACTGGACGCTCGTTCACCCGAAGCCGCCCGGTGTTCCCCCCCAGAGACCGCGCGGCTCGCAGGCGTCCCAGCGCCCGCCGCCCGCGCCCCAGCCCCGCGCGCCGAGCCGCCCGCGGCCTCCCACGTCCTGGGCTCAGACCGCGCTGCGGGGCCGTGCGGAGCCGTGCGGGGCCGCGGCCGGCGTCCGCCCCGGCGAGGCGCGCCGACCCCGCCGAGCCCCCGGCCCCGAAAGCGGCAGGCGGAGCGCGTCCGCGCACACCCGGCCCCGCACGGCCCCGCCCCGACCCCGACCCCGCGCGACCCCGACTCCGACCCCGCGCGGCCCCACGCCACGGGCGCCCACAGCGCCGTCGCTCACCTTCGCGCCGAGCCCGCCGGCCGCCGCCTGCGCAGGGGCCGCCTCCCGGGCCGGGGCCGCGGGGCCGCACAGGGCCTGCCCTGCCGGCCTCACCGCCGCCTGGTGCACGCGGGCCCGCAGCCCCCTCACCTTCCCCATGCGCCCGCCAACCCCGCCGGCCGCCGGAAGCCGGGACAGCGCACCGCCCCGCCGGCCGGAAGCTGGTCCTCCACGCGGGCGGCCCGGCCGGAAACAGGAGCCGGGCTGCTAGGATCCGCGCTCCTCCCGCGCAGGTGCGCGGACGGGGGCGGGGCTAGGACGCGGGCCCCGCCCCGCCCCGCAGCCTCCCGCCCCGCCCCACCGCCGCTGCGGTCCTGCGGTCTGGGGTAGCGACGGACGAGGTGCGCCGCGGACCAAGCCTGCTGGAAATGCGCAGTGTGTCAGCCCCACGGCCTCGTGCCTTTCAGAAACGCGCCGGGGGAGAGCAGGACTCAGAGGCCGGGGCCGTGCGGGCCTGTATGTGCTGACAAGCGGAGTCCGGTATGCGGGGGGACCCCCGGACACCAAGGGGAACCCCAACAACCCGTGGTCCACCCGGCGCGTCTGCTTTCATCCGCCCTGACTGGACAATTACACCGTCTCACTCACTCCTCCGAATGGCTCCTGGAAACTGGCGCAACCCGCCCCTTCCCACCCCACCTCCCCCAGCCCCGGTGAAGCGCGGCAGGGTCGCAGGCTGGGGAGCCCCGCTCTCCGGACAGCCCCGGTTTGCTCTCCGGGCTCCGGGCTCCAGGGCATGCGGCCCGGACGGCTGCGTTCAGGAGAGCAGCCTGGGGGTGACTCCCATCCCCAGGGACCCCGTTGTGCTGCTGGGGACAGGCTGATGAGTCCAGAACAAAGTTCAGCACAAAAAGGGCTGCGGTGGGGGCCACACGGGAGCCCAGACTCAGCCAGGACACTAGCCACACCGTGTCCCCCCCACAGTGGGAGTCAGCACCCACGGCTCAACCATGGCCGGAGCCTGGTGGAAGCCCACGTGCACAGATGAGTTTGAGAAAGGAGGAGCCAGCTGCTGGCAGGGCCGGGTGCCGTTACTCAGGAGGGATACAGAGGTGCTCCCCAGCAGGACACTGGACAGATGACCACATCAGCTGCTTAAGGCCAAGGTGATGGGGTCTGTGATTGACTCAAGGCCACGTAAGGGGCTGGAATTTGTGACCGTTTATATATTCAAGGCTTTACTGAGCATACAGTGTGCTAGAAGAGGCAGGACTATGGCAAGTGGGCACGTCCTACTTGGGGGGAGAGCAGGTCCCTTCAGGACTTATGTCTTGTGTCTTTGGCCAGGCTGTGCAGGAGCCGATCGGTCCCGTTCCAGAATGGCCCAACAGGGAACCAGGCGGTTCATAGGTGCAGAAGGAGACACCAGGCCTGAACATACAGGGGTGACTTCACAGCATGGACCTGGGCTGAAGCCACAGAGAAATGTCCCGGGAAGAAACCCCAGAAGACCCTCTCAGGCTTGACATCCCCGCACTGTAAGAGCTGCCAGCGTGGGTCCCGGCTCGCCGTCTGCCAGCCCAGGTCGGTGGAGAGGAGAGACCTGCTTCCTCTAGGGAGGACCTCCTGTGAGGCAGTGAGCAGCGCAGTGGGCACTCAGCACTTGGTCAGCCCCGGGCGGGGACACCTTCAGTTTTAGGGCCTTCTTTTTGCCTCTTCTGTGCAGTGCAAGTTTTCTCCACACAAAGAAAACGTGTCCAACAAAATGGGTCAGCTAGGAGTTTTCCAAAGTCCTGGGGCCTCTTCTCTCTCCATCTGTCCCGCGGTCCCTGACTGACCTCCTCCTGTCCACACGTCCCACGCCCGACCCTGCTGTCCTCACATTTCCATCTGCAGCCGGATCTCCCCATCTCCACCCGAAAATGTAGTGAAAATCTTAAAACAGAATCCTCCCCTCCTTCACCCCCCGCCCCGCCCGGCTCTGCTCTCGGTTCGGGAGGCCCCGCCCCATCCGCTCTGCCCTTCGTGGCGCTCAGCGGGGACCGGGATTCTTCGCTTTTCCCCTGACTCATTCTTCGGTCGCCCGAGAGCGCTCGCGGCCCGCTCTGCGCGCACCCTGGGCTTTTGGGTTTCCGGGCGGAGCTGGAGGGCCGTGGGGCTGCCGGAGAATCCGCTTCCCCAGGGCCTGGAGCCCCTTCGGCCTCCGCCCTCGGACTGCGGACGGGCCGTCTCCAGACCGCCGCGCGCCAAGGCCTGGGGTCCCACGCAGCCGCGGAAGGATGGATCCCAGGAGGTGCAGACACCCCCGCGGCCCTTCCCTGTCCCACCCCCCGCCCCGGGCCCTCAGTGAGGGACTTCCTAGTGAAGAACCCGTTCCGCAGACCCCACCAGGCTGCGCATGAGGGTGGCCAGCGACCGCTCCCCGTAGTGCAGCCCCTCGCAGCTCTGACGCCGCCTGGGCCCGGTCACAGCCCCGGAGTTTGGACTCCCAGCCCTACCTGGCCCTAGGCCGGTGCCCTAACCCTGCCCTCGCCAAGTGCCCAGAGTCAGGACTTCCTTCCCGGGGTGTCATGGCCACCCCCTTGCCACCAGCCGGGGCCAACCTGGGTCCAGATAAATTCGCCCCAACGCTCCACACTCAGCCCTGGAAATGTGTCCTCTCAGCCCGTTTCTGCCCCTCTCCCCGCACACTCTACTCCCTTCAACCCCTTCCTGGCCTGAGTCCCGGTCTCAGGGTGCCCTCAGGCCCCACTCCTGGCAGGAAGGTCCTTGCACGCGCCCCCAGGGAGCTGTCCAGGCTTGAGGTTGACTTGGCAAGGGAGGAACTTCTGGGGCTGTTTCCCCATTTCCGCAGTGAGGGTGCCAGTGCGGGGTTCTTGGGGAGACAGAGCCCCAGGCGCGCCCGCAGCAGCTGGCTCAGTGGGCTCCAGGGCCCTGTGAATGTAGGCAGCAAATGTGGCCTGGTTCGTGGCTCAGGGTCGGCGTGGGGTTGGCAGGGCCGAAATCCTGCGTGCAACCCCAGCCCATCCTGCCCCGCCTGGGTGCTCGAGGGCGCAGGGATGGGAGGGCATTTTCCCTCCCCCCTCCTCCATCTTCCGGACCCTCCCCAGCGTCCTGGACCCAGCGACTCTGGGAAGGAGATGCCATGCTGCAGGGTGTGTGGCCGACACCTGCCCCACTGGGCGCGCAGCTACAAATTGGGAGACTAAGGCAGGCGCCAGGTCCCGGTGTCCTCCGCCTGGCCTGGTCTCTGGGCGAGGAGCGCCGAGGCCACGCTCAGAACCTTCTCCGCCACCCAGAGGGCACACCCCCGTGCCCTTTGGCTTTGCTTGGGACACTTCAGGGGTTAAAACGATCGGTTTGAATCTCTGCGGGACTGCTGTGGTCTGAACGTCTCTGTAACCAGGGGAATTTCCAGGAGTTGGACCGCACGCGTCCCACGTGGCTCCTGGAGAGTGCGGCGGGGCCCCAGGCCCTGCGCGCGTCTGCAGGGCGGACCGTGTGCGCCTGTCCATGCCCAGAATGCGACAGGAAGTTCAGATGCAAATGCTCTGGGGCTGTGCAGTTCCCGAATTTGGAAACTTTCTGGGTAAAAATAACGTGTCCAACTCACTGTGTGATGCCGGGGGTTGACTGGAGGAAGTGGTGAGCGAGGGGTGGGAGGAAGAGGCCCGGGGAAGTCGAGATTTCGCCAGCGCGCTCTGCCCCCAGGGGTTGCGGGGTGGGGCCCGCCATCGCCCTCCGGGGGCGGCCGCAGAGCCCCAGGCCCCAAATGTCCAGCTCGGTTTCTGGCCTCTCCTTCCAGCCCTCCCTCCCTCGAGCTAGGCGGAGAGCTTGGGCCGACGTTTGACGGTGCGATGAACTCAGTTTATAGTTAACGTCCTTTTCCGATTACAGAGTTAACACGTGGCTGTCGGAAACACTTTGGAAAACACAGAAACCTACTTTAAACAGCTAAAATCCCTCTGACCCCCTTGCCCAGAGGTGCTTGGCCATGAACGTCAGTTCCTCCCAGCGCCTTTCCCCCACCTGACTGGGTCTTGCCGGCTTTTTAAAAACGTGAAATTTTCATGTTGCTCAGGCGTGAGAAGGGGTAGGTCTCCCTGGAGCCCACCCAGCACACAGCCCTGGGTCTCAGTCCGGCCCCCCCATCCTACCCATGTGAGCTTCAGTGGGCAATTCCGAGGGTGGCCAGGGTCACACCCAGATTAGGGCAAATGTTCCAACCCCCCCCCAACCTGAGCCTCACCCCAGCTTAGGCGGCTCCTGGGTGCTCCGCCACGGGAATGGGATTTTCCTCTCCTACCCCTCTGCTGGATCTTATTCCACCAGCCCTAGTGGGCTGGGCCCTGGGCGCTGGGCCCTGACCCCTGCCCCACCTCCCCCTTTCCAGGCTCTTCATCTCAGCACCCCGAGAGGCGGACCCATCACCCCCACCTTTCAGGAACTGGGCTGAGGCCTCGCAGCCACCTGCCCAGCGGGGGCCTGGAACTGCCGTCCGGGCTTCCCAGAGCCCAGTGGCCCAGCCCTGCTCACTTGCCTGCTCCTCGGCGGGCCAGAAGCAAGACTGACCACGGGGCCCCACGCTGGAAAGGTGCTGCTGTTCTCTTGAGAGAGAAGACAGGAAGAAGAGGACGGAAAAGGCTGCCCCTAGCCTGCAAGGGCTTCCCAGGTGAAGGAGGGTGAGATTTTCCTGGATAGCTCCTTGGGGAAGAGCTCTCGGCTGGGACCCCGATCCAAGGCGGGGGACGGGAAGCAGGTGGGCAGAGCTGGAGCACTTCACGGGAGACCGGGAAAGGAGGCCCCTGGCCCCAGCTGGCTGCCCACGAGGGTGATGTGGACCCAGGGGGACAGGCACAGGAACACTGACCTCTGGGGCTTGGGGGGTGCTGGTGGGGAATTGGGGAGCAGAATAAAATGCCTGGATCTCCTCCGCAGAGGAGGAGTAGTCTTGAAACTGGTGTGGGAGGCCAAGAGAGAAGCTTTTGGAGAGAGAAAAAAGGCCCCTAGGGTTGACTTCAGCTTCATGGGATCCTGGTTCTGTCCTGGGCCCTGAGGTCCTCCCATCCTTCTTCCCCAGCACCGAGTGCCTTCCTAGTGCAGGCCCAGCAGCCCCGGGGCTCAGAGTCTGCTCAGGGCTCCGGACCCAGCATCCCATCAGACCCCCCGGAGCCAGTGAAACAGACACTCGGGCCCCGCCCCCATCAGGATTGAGATCCACGGGCTGGGCGTGGGCCCCGGGTGTGCGTTCCTCACACGGACCCTGCCCAGCATTTAGGCCGGGATTTCCAGGTTCCTGTGTGTACTTCCTCCTCTCCCACCCAGCGGCCTCCCCAGGGAGCCACTGGTATGGAGCAGGGCTCTGCCTGCTCTGAGCCAAGCTAAGCTCGCTTACATGCGGCGGGTCGGAGGCTTCCCTGGTGCCGCAGAGCAGTTTCCGCCACAGCCCCGTGACACATGCCTCCTGCTGTTCCCGCACTTTCTCTGGGCCGGGCCTGTTCTCTGTCCCCGTCGGCCCATAACCTCACACCCATGGAGGGGAGGCCAGTGATCACTGACCTCATGGACAGGTGGGGAGCCCGAGGCCAGAAGCGACTGCTTGTTACCACAGCCAGGAGGCTGGACAGCAGGAGAGGGAGAGAGAAGCTCAAGCAGACCCTGCTCTGAGCACAGAGCCTGATTCGGAGCTCAATCTCACAACCCTGAGATCATGACTTGGGCCGAAATCAAGAGTCAATGCTTAGCCAACTGAGCTATCCAGGTAGCCCCAAAAGAAATTTCCTATAACTCCAGGTATAGACACTCCCCTCAAAAAAAGAAAAATCTGCTGTAATTTGATTGAGAGCTCCATGCTTCCTGGGACCTTGTGGCTGCCATCTTTCTGATGATTTGCAACTTCACACTTATTGGGCACCTGCTGTGTGTGCCAGGCCCTTTGAGGAACCCTTTCATATGTCTTCATTTGTCCTCACAGTGGGAGGGGGGTGAGGGAAATGGGGGCCCAAGGAAGAAAAGGGATTGGCTGTCTGGAGACGACTACTGCTACCAGTGGCCCCATCTGTCAGACCCCAAGTCCATGCTCCTCTCTCAGCCTAGCATCCATGCCCCCAAACCAGGCCCCTACGGCCAGAGGAGCTTAGAAGGCAAACATGGAAACTGAGCTCCTTAATCCAGGGTTGGAAGGTACAAAGTTGATTTGACAAAGGCAGCCAAGACGTCCAGTGGGCACACGTCCCTAAAGATGCCCAAAGGGGCTTTATTTGACATTGGAAGAAATGACAAATTGAACAGGAAATGGCAATTTGGTAGGTACCATAAGGAGAGAAATGACCCTGGGACCTGGGTTAGGGTTAGACGGCTCGCCTGACCTCCTGGAACCCCCACCTGTCAGCCCGGTCTTCATACTGAAAGGAGAAATTGGATTCCAGGGGACCAGGAAGGCATTATGACCTTCCTGTTGTGGTAATGAGGATGTTAGCTACTCACGCCCCCGCTCATCACATCTCTGTAGAACGATGAACAGTTTCATTTTTAAATTATTGTTTTTGAAATAGGCACCATGTCCAGCATGGAGCCCAAAATGGGCCTTGAACTCATGACCCTGAGATCAAGACCTGAGCTGAGATCAAGAGGCAGATACTCAACCGACTGAGCCACCCCGGTGCCCTTCAACAGTTCCATTTCTAACCTGGGCTCAGTGCTTTGGTTATTCTGACAGTGTAACTGTGCACTACTGAGCCAAGGGAACATTCTAGAATTACATTTTCTTCCTTATACAACTTCTGGTTTTCCCCCAGCGTTGATAATTGCTTAACTTTTTCTGGCTTAATCTCCTTTGAAGGAGCCAAGTCTTCTGCCCTCCAACAGGTCCTCAGTGTGACCTTCCACAAAGTCAAGTCTGTTGGTTAATCTTTCTGTTCTGGTGAGGGTTGGGCAGTCCCTGCTCAGGCCATAGGCCAGCCTCTGCCCCGGCCTCCTCAGGGTGTCTTTCCTTTAGCTGAGTTGGAAGGAGGAAGCCAGAAAGAGGAAGACCAAGGAGAAAAGACCTTCTGCTTGACATGAAGGTGTAGTTGGGTAGTAAGTGGGGATGAGGACACATAGGCCAGCATCCAGGACAGTAGGTGGCTGGAAAGGGCCCAACCCCTCACACATCTTCCCTACCTTCTACGCTCGCCTGGCTGCCCTAGCACCCCTGTGGCCTGGTTGACAGTAAGGATCTCTGTGGCCCTGGCAGTGTGGCTTTCTGCCTGTTGGTTTGGATCTGTGGGGGCTCCAGGGACAGAACTGTTCAGAGCACCTGGCGGGGCTGACAGTGTTTTCCGCTCTGCTCTGCCCACCCCCCGGGAGCATGCTCGCGCCTCCTCTGCAGCTGCCTCGCGGGCTCCTCCACCCCCTTCCTGCTCCATAAAGGGAGCAGCAGCTGAATCAACACTGCAGAAGGAAGTTACTGCGAGGAAGAAATTGAAAAGAAAATAAAAGTGAAGATCGGGGAGTGGTCACGAAAGGACAAGAGCTGGGGCAGGCGAAAGTCGCAAAGGGATGCAGGATAGGAGGGTGTCAGCTGGGAAATGTTGTCACAGCCCTGCTGTTGGCCCGAATGCCACCACGTCACGGCAGCTTGGGCCAAGCTTGGCCTGAGAACAAGAGCCAAGCTTGTTCTCTGCCTTTTTTTTTTTTTTTTAAAGATTTATTTATTTATTTGAGAGAGAGAGGGAGCACGCAGGGGACTGCTCAAGCAGAGGGAGGGGCAGAGGGAGAGAGAATCCCCAGCAGACTCCCAGCTAAGCACAGAGCCTGACTTGGGGCTGGATCTCAGGACCCTGAGATCATGGCCTGAGCCGAAATGTAGAGTCAGACGTTTAGCAGACCGAGCCACCCAGGCGCCCCTGCTTTCTGCCTTCTGAGTGCTGGGTTGTGTTTCCCCGGTGCCTCCTCTGATGAGTGGGTCCCCCGTTCTCAGGCCTGGCTCGTCATACCCGCACAGCACCGTGGGCTGTGCTGCCTCGCTCTCCAGACTTTTCCCAGCTTCGGCTAAGACACCGCAGTGTGCCTGGGAGTCTCTATAAAGGGAGCCTCACTTTGGCCATCATTAAACTATTTCTTAATCTTTGAGACCTCTTAGTGCTGTGTATTGTGGGAACGTGGCTGGGGGGTGGGGAGTGGGGCTGCGGGTGCCCAGGCCAGCATTCGGGACAGCCAGAGAATGGAAACAGCTGGGGCGCCTGGGTGGCTCAGTGGGTTAAGCCGCTGCCTTCGGCTCAGGTCATGATCTCAGGGTCCTGGGATCGAGCCCCGCATCGGGCTCTCTGCTCGGCGGGGAGCCTGCTTCTCCCTCTCTCTCTATGCCTGCCTCTCTGCCTGCTTGTGATCTCTCTCTGTAAATGAATAAATAAAATCTTTAAAAAAAAAAAAGGCTACTAAAAAAAAAAAAAGAATGGAAACAGCTGCCTCTTGCATCTCTTCCTCTGTTTTACATCACTTAGGCTGCCCGCTTCCCCCCACCCCATGCCCAGAATAATTTGAGGGACCGCCGCTCTTTCTGCCTTATAGCACTGTGACATGCTCGTCCCTGAACTGGGCCACGGTGTCCTGGAGGGCGCGGGCTGCATGCCCTCTGGGCATCTAACAAAGCACTGGGCCAGGCAACACGTCCTCAACGAACACCGGATGAAATGGAGTTGATTTACTAGAAGGCTAGAGGGAAGTGACCACAGATGGAATTTATTGGGACTTTGGGGAAAAGATTTTTCCCAGAATTCTGTTCTTCCACCCCTGGCTTCAGCTTTTTTCAAAACACCAAGCCTCGTCTCTCATGCTCACGCCCCACAAAGGCTTCCGCTGGTGGGACCATCACTTCCTCTGTTTCACACCATTATTCCTGGATGGAGAAACCCCTTGGCACGCACCCCAGGACTCCCTGTCTCCCACCTCGCTGCCCTAGTCACTGGCACCACACCCTGGTCTCGCCTGCTCCATGGTGCTGGAGACGATGTGCCATGGTCTACCTGGACGTTTCCCCATTACTAGATGTAAGTTAATTATGTTATAGATGCTAATGACCCAATAAAGACGCAGACACTTTGTGGTCCTGGTTACCAGGAAGGACAAACGGTGTGCATATTAGCCGCTTAAATAAGTGACACCAACTACCCCCCATTACCTCACCATCTTTCTGAATTTGCCCCGATGAGAAATGGTATCTCGTGTGGTTTTGGTGTCTGTCTTCCCAGTGTCCACTGAGTCTCTGTTCTGCTGACTTTCTTCACTTGAAGAATGCTTGGGATTCACTCATGTTGTTGAATTTCTCATACGTTCACGTAATGCCATCAATTTGCCTCTAGGAGCTGCTTTACCTTCATCCCGTAGTACGACCGGCAGCATATCATTTCATTCCATTCAAAATATTTTCTTTTTTTTTTTTTTAAGATTTTATTTATTTATTTGACACACAGAGAGACAGCAAGAGCAAGAACACAAGCAGGGGGAGTGGGAGAGGGAAAGCAGGCTCCCAGCCGAGCAGGGAGCCCAATACAGGGCCCAATCCCAGGACCGTGGGATCATGACCTAAGCCAAAGGCAGATGCTTAATGACTGAGCCACCCAGGTACCCCTCAAAATATTTTCTAATTTACCTTGAGGCTTCTGTTTGACCCACAGAGTATTAAGAAGTGTGGGGGCGCCTGGGTGGCTCAGTGGGTTGGGCCTCTGCCTCCAGCTCAGGTCATGATCTCAGAGTCCTGGGATCGAGCCCTGCATCAGGCTCTCTGCTCAGCGGGGAGCCTGCTTCCCCCCCTCTCTCTGCCTGCCTCTCTGCCTACTTGTGATCGCTCTCTCTATCAAATAAATAAATAAGATCTTTAAAAAAAAAAGTGTGTTATCTCTTTGGCGATTTCTCTACATCTTTCTGGTTATTTTCTAGTTAAACTCCACGCTGGCTACAGAACATACTGGGAGTGATTTAGGTTCTCTTGGAGGCGTGCAGGAGTCTGTCCTCCTTGCTGAAGGTGCCACGCACACCCTGCGGCTGCTGGCTGACGTGTTTCAGATCGTCCGTGTACTTGCTGCACTTGTCTCCTTTCTAACAGACTGCTGAGGGGGCACCGACAACTGCACTTGTAAGTGTACGTTCGCCCCATTCTCCTTGCAGCTCTTACAGTGTTTGTGTGCCATGAGCCTGTTGTTAGGTGTGTGCCCATTTACAAACCTTACACCTCATGGAATCGGCCCGTTACGGTTAAGTAAAGCCCCACCGGACTATCGATGGTTTTCACTGCTGCGACAGCTCGTGTGATTGAAATTAGCAGAGTACTTCCCTGTTTTCCACTGATCAGCACTGCTGTGGTTCATCTCCCTCTTCCTTCTTCTTCTATCCCTGTCTGTTGCTCTGTCTTTATTCCTCAGTATCTATATTTCCAGTATCATTTCCCTCTGAAATCTTAAGATTGCTGTTAGAGCTTATCTGCTGGAGACTAATCTTCTCACTTTGCCTCCATCTGAGAATGTATTTACTTTTTCATTTGTGGGGAATAAGAGAACTGCAGGAGAATTCAAGGCTGGTGGCCCTTTCCTTTGAGCGCTGTGCCACCGTATCCAGGCTCTATGATATTTTTTTAAAGATGTTATTTATTTATTTGACAGAGAGAGATCACAAGTGGGCAGAGAGTCA